GAGGAAGGCCCACACGCCCCCGCCCCATGTGGGAAATTCAGAAGCTTCTGGCTTTGGTCTGGCCCAGTCTGTGCCGTTCCAGCCAACTGGGGAGTGATCCAGCACACGGATCTCTTCCTTCTCTCTAACTCTGCAGTTCACATACCTGAATTCTAAAAGAAAAACAAGCCTACAAGACTGAAAGCAAAGAGATTTTAGGGTCAAATGTTTTCAGTAGCAAATGATAATGCTTCCAATTAATAAGATCTAAGAATTTAACCCAACACACACACACAGAGGATTTGGTAAACGGTATAAATTAAAAAATAAAACAAAATGGGCAAACCTGCCAGATAAAATCAGTGGAGATTGAGAAGATAAACATTTTATCATGTCAGGTTAGTTCAGTAAATAGACTGACTTCTTCCATGTTGGTAAGAACCAGACAGGAAATGTAATGCTAAAAACAAACAGGGCCCGGTGTGGTAGCCTAGTGGCCAAAGTTCTTGCCTTGAAAGTGCCAGGATCCCATATGGGCACCGGTTCTAATCCCAGCAGCCTGCTTCCCATCCAGCTCCCCGCTTCTGGACCGGGGAAGCAGTGGAGGATGGTCCAATGCCTTGAGACCCTGCACCTACATGGGAGACACAGAAGAGGCTCTGGGCTCCTGGCTTCAGATTGACTCAGCACTGGCCATTTAGGGAGTGAATCAACTGATCGCAGACCGTCCTGTCTCTTCTCTTCTCTGTGTATCTGACTTTTGAGTAAAATAAAATAAATCCTTAAAAACAAACAAAAGCCCCAAATCATTAGCAAAAGCAGTAAATGTTACAAAATTCCTAAAAGTAAACTTAAGACCTTAAGAGATATAAATTTAGTTCCACTGAACAGTCATAGACTGGAACGAAAAGATCTGACTTTTTTTGCTAAGGAAAATTAAGTAGTTTACAGAACTGTTGTTCCTCAATTCATTCCTCGCCTTCGTGCAATTCCAAATTCCCTTAAAGCTTTTTCCCCTGATTTTACAAGAACCAATCTTTTAAAAGATATATTAATCTGTAAGTAAAGCAGCACAGATGAGAGGTCTCCCATCCACTGGCTCACTGCATCCCCTGCTCCTAAGTGGTCGCAACAGGCAGGGAGGAACCAAGCCCTCATCTCCCACACCTGCTGCCATCTGCAGAAAAACGGACAAGGAAGGGCTCACGGACTCGGTCAGGCTTCATGTTCAGCCTTGCTCAAAGCCAGATGTGCCACATAACACAGCCTAATCACAGAGGTGACATTTATCATCTTGGTCCCAATGGTAAGGGTGGGAAATCTCATGGGCATCTAAGGATGCTGCCCACCACAGGACAGTGATCAGGGTAGCTTCCTCAGAAGGAAACAGGACAATGGTTTGTGGCATGTGGAATAGGCTCAGATAGTTCTCCCATCAACAAAGAAAATAAGTTAATCACTTGGCACATATGGACCATCAGAGAAAGAAAAAATATTTGCATCAAACCATTTCCCAATCTCAGATGGACAAAAAAATTTAAATATAGCAAAATGATACAAGTACTGAGACGAAATTTAAGCATTTTTTACAATCTAGGGTTGGGAAATGCCTTTATAAAAACACTGAGCTAAAGATTCTTCATTACATAAACATTTCTGAATAGCATATCAAAACATAAATGACAACCAATGTTTAAAACATGAAAAGTAGAAAAGCATGATTATCCTTAATATGTGGAGAGCTCTTAAAATATGAGCAAGAATTAGAAAAACATCCCACAGAATGATCACAGAATGTGAAGATCAACTCACAGGAAAATAAATGTACATACAAAAGTGGCTCAAGTTCACGGATAACTAGTTATCAATTATACAATCGTTCCACCTATCAGATTATTTAAAAAGTAAACCAACCAGCAGTTTCCACAGGATCTTGAACTGGTACAACTTTGGGATGAAAATCTGATATACATCAAAGCTAAAACTGTTTATTCCCTGAAACATCTATAATTTCTCCTCTGCAACTTTGTCAGGCAAACACAGACTTCCTCAACATATCTATTGCTAAAAGTGAAAGCGTCAAACCTTAAACATTTATCATTAGGAAATGAAACAAATTATTGAAGTTCTGCAAACATCAAAAATAGGGAGACCTTTACAAAGTCACATGGGAAACCTATAATATCAAATAAAAGGTCCAGAGTAGTGATTGATTTTTTCCACAAAATTTTGAAAATGGCACATGAAACTAGCAATGCTTACTCCTTGAAATTAATACTGTTGTGTGTGTTTGTGTGTGTGGTGGAGGAGGGACAGGGTGGTCAATGCCTGTTCAGAGTGGGGAGATGCGTGTACTTCCGCCCAATCCCAAATGTGTTTTTAATGAATATTGATTTTGTAATGCAAAGTATCTTCTATCTAAAAGAACAATGTCCAAATTTGATCCATGGACAAATGTACAAAATGAAAGGGACCAAATCTATTCTGCTTGGAGTTTTCTAAGTTAGTGATAACAATGCAAACCACATCACATGTAAGCAGAACAATGAATGAATCCGCACAATGAGTGAAGAGGTTATAAACATCACACCAGAGGCAAAATGGTATCATTTGATATTGTGCTTTTAACTTCGATTTAAACATATTCTGCTGTTGCCTGTGCCATGTAACAGCCACTGCTAAATATAGTAGATCTAATGAAGACATTGCCATAGACCATAGGGGGCTTATTTGGTGAAAAATATGATTCTGAGACAGTCTTCATGAACAAGTTTGAAACAAGACTGTACATTCTTGGGAGCAGAAAACAACGTGCTGAAGAAAAGGATTTTGTTCACATGAGCACACAGCCCTGTCTATTCTGGGGAAACTTCACGTGGTTTGAGTGTCTGAGACGTTCTGCATCGGATGCCTCTCTCGGGACTCACCCCGAAATGCAACAGCTTTTCCCTCTGCACCTGCCACGAGGTTGTACAGCCAGGAACCAGCCCGAGCACCTCCCTCTGCTTCATTCTGCCCACGCGGTATCATGTTTGCACCCACCCCTGACTCAGCCTTTCTGCATCCTCCATTTACTCATGGCTGTGCATCTCACCAGCCAGAGCACGCCAGCCTGGGCTAGCAGGGAATGGGACGAGGTTTTGAGGAATAGATGAAGGACTCCCTCATCAGGTCCTTCCAGAAGTCCCTACAAGTCTAGCCAAGACAAATCAACAGCTGTGACTTTTCAATTTTCCTTGTTGAAAAAAATTACAGATAAAGCTTCAAGTTCTGCATATAGCTCCTTTTTCTCCTTCAAATATGCAAAATGCTTTAAAATATCATTACAAGTATCAGTTGAAACAAAAAAACAATATGGGAGTGTTGTTAACGTTGCTAAAGCACATTTTTCTATGAACAGCATAAATTAGATATCTTTGCATCATGTGTACACAATGGGGAGATAAATTAGTTTCATTAAAAATAAATTTCCTGTATTTTTGAACCCTGCCACAATTACATAATCAAATTTTATAACTCACCGGAACCATTTATTAGACATTTGCTGGGTATTCTGCTACATTAAATCTTGATAATACAGCTTATTTCAACTTTTTCAACTCATACTTCCTTTAAAAGCACTGTCCACACACAGGAGCCTCCTGCTCAGTTTTTGATATTTCTGTAGAAAAACAACTGAAAAATAATGACTGAAGTTACAATAATTAAGCCACTACTCCAAAAACATTGTAGCTTACCAATATAAACACTGGAAAACTTGGCATTCATCTTTGTATTTCCTGAAAATTTGGCATACGTCTTACACTGGCATCATATTTCAATTCACAGCAGCCGCATTTCAAGACGTGAAGTGTCACACGAACTTCCATTGCACTGGAAGACACTGGCCTTCAAGCTTCCATTGTCAAAGTTGCAAATTGGCTGCCACTCTCAAAATCCTATTCCCTGTGGACTTTAGCTAAGGACATATCAGCTGCAGAACGTCATCATGCAACACTAAATGGAAACCAGCACATTTCTAGGTAAATGCCATAAGAAACTTGACACATCCTCTTCTCACAAGGACTAGTTTTCCACGTGTTCCTTCATGATGGAAGGGACCACATCTAACACACAGATGATCCCATATGTTCCAGACAAATGAATATGGCCAGGTATCACTGACTTCAATCAGCTTGTCATTACTCAGTGTTCTGCAACGAACCAATTTTACTCCCCACTTTCTCCAGGGAAAGAGTGAACATCTGTGTTCTCTTCAGAACAGTCTCTAAGTGGCCTGCCACAATAGTTAACATAGGAGACTTCTGAACCACATGAATCCTGTCTTCATCAAACTCTACTCCTCCGACATGCAACAAAACCAAGAAGCCTAAGGCACAGTGACAGGCACAGGGGCACTGCCTTTCTCACCAACCTCGGGCTTGGGAAAAGGCAAACAGCACACCTGCACCTGCCAGGAACAGACAGCGCACGTGTCTTCCAGCCACCCATCAGCAGCGGTAAGGCTCACATTCTGGGGACGCCACAAGCCGTGTGGCACACCACTCTGAGTCAGAGAGAAGTGCTGTGCAAGTCATGACAAAGGAAAACCTGAAAGTGGCAAAATAAAATGATATGTAATGACTCAAGGGGATGCCTATTACAAAGAAAAAAATATGAGGCAATTATGTAATGATACAAATGATGTAGTATAATAAAACTCTCTATTAGTCTTCAGATCATTGAACAACTTTATGCAAAGTGTAAAAACTGGAAAAATGTCGAAGCTAGCAGTGAGAACAGCTTTCTTCTGCTTTTCTGCACATAATAAAATGACCTTAATAACACTGGAATTCCTCAAATACATTTATAGACAATTTTGCAATTTTAATACAAAAATATTCCAACTGTGGAACCAACAGTCCCTGTTTTGTAAACTACTGGTACACATAGGTATGTCATGTCATTGGAAACATTTATTTCATTCATTATGTATAAACCGGTGTTTTGAAAACTGAATATATTTAAAACACATTAAAGACAATTAATTTTCTCTCTTCTTTTTCGGTTTTGCACATTCCAAAATCGGTGTAAGTTCGGCCTCCTCTCTGTGTTTCCTCTTCTTCTTTTTCTTTTTATTGTCACTTTGGTAACCACTGGAGTCACTGCCCTGGAACACAGGGTCCTGCCCAGGATCCTCCTGATGCTTCTTCTTCTTGCTCTTCTTCTTCCGGGGCTCTCCCTCGCAGAGGCCATTCACGGGCTCGGCAGCCTGCAGGTCCTGCTCCTCTGCGGAGGGGACAGCATCCGCACACTCGGCTGGCTCTGCCTCGGGAACACCACTGTCCACGTCACAGGTGTCTGGCTCTTTCTTCTTTTTCTTTTTCTTTTTAGCAGGCTTTTCAACAGCTTCTTCAGGGTTAGTTTCTGTTACTTGCTCAGAAACCTCGGAACACTTGGATGGTAAACTGTAATTTCATAGTTTAAAACATTATTATTACTGGCAAAATCACTGACATCTGATAAAAATACACTTTCAGGATTGATCAGAGTTTCCTGATGTCGCTTCCTGACCACTACACTGCTTCAATCTGCTTCAAATAACTATCTGTTGTCTTACTTGTAGGCATGTTACTTCAAAGTTGATTATTTTACGTCACACAAAAACAACAAGGATTAATGAAGTAGTTCTCTGCCCAGCACTATAAAAGTCCTATAAAGTAGCACCTGCCATGGATAACTAAGTAACTGTAAGCAGATGACATTAAAATTGTCATTCCTCACCACACACTGCTTCACTGTGAGGTGTCTGCCTGGTGCACATGCTGCACATCGTGAACATCAGTGTTCTACTGGGCAGATGTTCCAGAACTTGAACCATAATGTGGCAACTTACTAATGTGAAATCTGGGAAAAATTGTTAGCATCAGTACTACTTCCTGACGGTGTCCACCTCCTCCCCTCTTACAAACTTATCTCCCATGGAACCAAGCGGAAGATCAGAGTCATTCTTTAAGAAATTCTATACACAGAAACGCAGACATCAACATATCTGCCTCGGACAACAGTAGAGGATCAGGTGACCTTGCTTCACTGTATGAAAACGAAAGCAGTTCAGGTGCTTTACAGCATGATGCACAGTGTTTGTTTCAAGTTCAGAGATCAACTTCTTCAAAAACCAACAGCCAGGAAACACTAACCTGCTGACATTCAGTTTTCCTCGAATGCAGAACACTCCAGCAGCATCGGAGTCTAAGCGAAACACTTCAAACTCCAGCTCATCACCCACGTCTACCTCCAAGGTTTGCCACTGCTCAGAAGACATCTTCTCAGGTTTGGGGATGGACGCATTAAAACACCCATGGACCAGGCAGCCAATGTGGCTGGCAGACACCTTATTAACCATACCCTGTGGAGGAAGGAAAGGAGAAAACACACATCAAAAAGAGATCCGCGAAATTAAAAGATGAAACAAACAATAAGTTTCGAACAGATCTTCAAAGAAAGGAAAAAAAAAATCAAATAAAGGACATTGAACACAGAAAAAGTTTACCTCAATGAAGATTTACCACATGTCAAACAGTAACATCACTTTAAAACACTAGAGTTTGCTAAAAGCGCAAATTTTATCAAACAAGTAACTGGCTGCCAACTGTCCACCTGGATAAAACACACAGTCCCTCTAAGAGCCTTCCTCCTGCCACCACCAAGATGCCTCTGTCCCTCTGTGGAGTGCCCTGGGGAGCCACATTGAAACCAGGCTGGAAATACACTTTCATGAGACCTGCACGTGGAAACATACGCTTTCTGTAAATGAAACTGACGATACTTTTCCATAAGTATTCTGGATTTCCAAGATTCGAGTGCACTTTTCAGTGACTCAGGTTAGCATGATGGAAGCCTACCGTTTATGTGTAAATTCAGAATATGGCATATGTGGCTAAAAAACAAGAACATCACAGGACCTCAAACTAAAGGAAACGCATATGCCATAGGACTTTAAGCTTATGCTGAAACTTTCCACAAAACCTAGTTCTCTTTTCTTCCATTTGTGAGGATATTTGCACGCAATGTATTTGAATGAAAACCCTGAAACATAAAAAAATCACATTTTCGGAAGTACAGATCTGTATGTGACACTGCCATGTGTGCAATGCTCTTTAACAGCAGAACAAAGCTCTCCTAGACCAGGGTCAGGCCTGAGTGTCTCCACTGTGGCTTCTGCGTCCTCGAGGTAAACTGTACTCACAGAATGCAGTATTAATTAGAAACAAAAATGAAGAGACCTCTAAAACTGCAGAGAGACTGGGGGAAACATACATAGACTTAAAGAAGCTTAAGAAGCTACATACTGAATGTCTCCAACAACATCCCGGAAGAGGCAAAATTATGCTGGCAGTCCAAAGATCAGCGGTTGTCAGACACCAGGGAAAAGGAGGTGAGCAGGTGGAGCACACAAAGGGTTTAGGGCAGAGCAGCTGTTTCACGTGACGGTGCGACATTAGACACCAGTCACGACACAGACTCAACTCCAACAGAAGCTGCAAGCCATTATGCTTGACTGCAATGTAAATGAAAAAATTATCTCAAAACCAAGAAATAAGGTAAGACAACTTTCCCAGCAATATGAAGGAACAAAAGTGCCCACACTGCCATAAAAATTGGTAACAAACGCAGTGCAAACAGAAGATGGTGTCAGGAACACAGCTAACTGTGTGCACACCTGGGGATGTGAATGTGGGACCCTGGGCGAGCCACTCATTTTTTCTACAAAGCTAAAGCGGATCTAAAAATGGTTTTATCAATTAAAAAAATCAACCAAAAGGTCTTTAGAAATTTCAAGCTTTGGGGCTACTAGAAAGCTCTAGGAACATGACAACAGATCTCAAGGCCTCCCTCACAGCAGCTCACGAGAACATCCCTACTCAGGGGTAGAAAAATCTTTTCAATGAGATCTAGAAAACAATAAACATCAAAGTGCACAATACTGAGTTGGATCCCTTTAACAGTTTCTCCGTCATACACAATTAAGTCACTGAATGTGGGAGACCTGGGTGAAACTCCTGGCTTTAGCTTGGCCACATGCTGGCCATGGTGGCCACCTGGGGAGTGAACCAGCAGAAGGAAGATCGCTCTCTGTAACTCTGACTTTCAAAATGAATAAATAAATGTTAACAAAATTAAAAGGATTTTAAAAAAATTAACACTGAGTAATGAAAATTGAAAATGAATTGAAAACTGACAACGCATTAGAAAAGACCATTTTTGTTCAAATATATGGAAAATTTCTCATGAGACAAATACAAATTAAAATAATAATGGGATACTACTATATGCCCACGGGTAAAATTAAAAAATTGACACACCAAATACTGACAACCATACAGAATAACCAGAAGAGCTGAATGGGAAATTAGTCTGACAATAATCTTTTATAAAGGCAAATGCACACTCAGCCCGTGGCACACCACTTCCACTAAAAGTTACTTACTGTAGAGAAGTAAGAATGTATGTCTATCACGGCTTCATTCCTACCAGCACCAGGCTGGACATGACCGAAATGTACAACAAGAGAGACAGTCCGACAGGCATACACCCACAGAACTGTGTGCCACGAACAGTAACAAGTACACAGCACCACGGGCGAAGCACAGCGGGCTGACGTAATGAAGTGTAATGAGTGAGTCCAGCAACACTGAATCACAGAACACAACAAATCCCTGATCAAAGAAAGCCAAACCACACTTGTACCAGGGAAAGGGAAAGGCGCGCTGGTCTCAGCAGGTGGAATGGACCAAGACCTGCCAGCACTCCTGGCCAGCGCACTGCGACCTGTGCATTACACAGAAACCACAGCGCCCTGCACACAAGGGAACACCGAAAACGTTACCAGTCAAAAGGACTTGAGAACTGCATCCTGTTCAGGGTTGAGAATAAAAAGGCTATTTTTCATTTAATTTTTCTGGCGAAACCTGAATGTAACAGCATGTACATGTTCACATTTGTGATAATAATTTATACAAAATATATGGGGGTTTCTTTTCATTTTTTGGAGATGTGCTTATTCATTCTGTTTGAGCGGCAGAGCACCACAGGGAGAAGGATGGATTCCCCACACAGTGGTTCAGTCCCCAGATGTCCACAACAGAGGACCCGGGCCAGCCTGAAGCTAGCCAAACAGAACCCCAATCAGCCCTCCCACACAGAGGGCCCAAGCCCTTCTGCTCTCCTCTGCTGCTTTCCCAGTTGTGTTAGCATGAAGCTGGAATGAAATTGGAGGCCGAGCGAGTAGGTCTCAAATTAGAACTTCAACGTGGGATGCCACGCAGGTGCAGGGTCCCAAGGCTTTGGGCCTTCCTCCACTGCTTTCCCAGGCCACAAGTAGGGAGCTGGATCAGAAGTGAGCAGCCAGAATATGAACCAGTGCCGACATGGGGTGCTTGTGATTGCAGGCGGAGGTTTAGTCAGTTATGCAACAGTGCCAGCCCCTGGAAATTTTCAAGTATAAATATACTTCTAACTTCAACAGTAGGTGGCCCAGTTGTGAGACCCCAATTTGGCAAGCAATACACACTATTTCTACTATTTTAATTAGTATTAAATTTTAAAAATAGTATGACCTCATGGCTTTTGCCACAGTGAAATTATATCTATAATTTTATTAACTGTACCAAGTTATTTGTAACATTATGCAATGTCTATATTTTTTAAGGAACAAGTGGTAGGACTACAAACACACATATGAACGCACAATAGCACACATATATGTATGAAGCAGGGTGAGTTGTTTGCATGCTCACACACACAGCCGCTGGTACAAGAGTGGGGTACAGAAGGCACGGGGACACGTCTCAGCAGAGGTCCCCTCCCGTCTCCACGTCAGCTTCTGGGAAGCCGGACGATCTGCCCTCGCCTGCCTGCACTCCCCCAGCACAGCGGCCCGGCTGGCTGCCTTCGGCTCGGCCACCCAACTGCACGTGCCCCGTAAATCCAACAGGATTTTCTGCCCTGTCTCACAGTTATTTGAACTGCTCTTTGAGACCCATTGTAACACTAGCGGAATCTGTGTAAGAAAAAAGGAAAAATTATGAAGAATTAAAATATCATTTAAAAATAATTACTATGATGGTTTCCTCTTAAAACCATTCTGGCACAATGCAGACAACAGATCGGACGGGACATTTATCCTGTGTATGCACAGGTCTCAGGGCACCGCAGTTTAAACTCACCTGCCTGGAACTTACAGAAAGTAATTTTTCTTTTTAAATAATAATTTTCATTCATCGGCAACAACAATTTATTTGAGTCTCAAGGGATATATAGTCTTAACAATATAATTACACACACACACACACACACAGACAGGAAGAAACGACACATACCTTAAGCTTCTGTCCTGGTTCAGGACAGAAAATAACAAAATCCGCTTCAATGTTAAGGTGGATGTGTCCCTGGTCATCGTGAATGTCCCCCAGCTCACCCACGACCTTGATGTTGTCATATGCTATGGGGACACCTAGAAGGCTGGGTACAAGAAACAAAGACCACGTTTTACCTTCTCTTCCATCAGGCCATTATCATACTGACTAGATGTTTTACTAGCCCAAAAAGCACACGATTCCAACATTTACCACTCATATTAAACATACAATGCTTCTAATTAGTCCTTAACAACCTTAGCTAGTCCATTCCACCACAAGTTCCGAAGTAGAAGTTAAAAGTGAATATTTATGGTTTAAAATGATTATTTGAAATCAAGCACTCAGAAACAAAATACCCCATGATGCATGAGCAACACATTTGCTATCTGCTTGGATTCTAGTCATGTTAGCGAGAGAAACAATGACTGTTGGCAGGGAAAAGGCCAGGGTACTGCTGTAAGAACGAATCACCAGCAATCCGGGTATTGTCCACCCGTTCGTGGCCCAGAGCAGGGGAAGCACGGCAGACCTGAATATGAAAGCCCCAAAGCAGGACTGCGGCTGGCAAGGGAAAGGCTGAGAACTGATGCCACCACTTTCTGCACATTTGATAGACAGGATTGGGGCAAAGGGTTCCTTTAAAATGTCACTTCCCAGCTCTCAGACTGAAGGTTTTGCCACCACACCCTCTCCTTGCAGCAAAACTTCCTCAGCTCTGTCAGGTCAGCCTGGAGTCACGGCTGTTCTCCCAGGGAACTGCTGTCCAGTGGCATCCCTGCTCTGCACGCAGGCCTACTGAGCTGGCTGTGCCCTGGACCACAGCGCGCATCTGTTGTTGCTGCTGTATGCAATCACTTTTGTATCATGACTCCCGGTAAAAAAACAGGAAGATTATTCCTAATAGAGCCTGTTTGAGATATCAAACATCAAGGGGCTGGCCACACACACACACACACACACACACACACTTTGCAACCTCATCTATTGTCCGCACCCATCAACACAACATTAAATTCAGGGGAGACTGTGTGGCCCTTTGCCAAGAACCCAATCACTCCCCGAAAGCAAGGGAGACAGGAGGGCTCCGTGGACCAGCTGGGATGCCACGGAGCGCATCATGCCCTGGGATTCAGCACATGAACTACCCTGTCTGGAGTCTCAGAGCTAGTTACAACAGGCAGCTTTAACCCTGCTTAAGAAACATAGCAGATGGCATTCTACCATTTTTGCGGTCCCTTTACTGAGCCATGGAAGCCTCAAACCTCTCTCACTTCTCTCCAGCCCTCACTCAACTCCCCATGACGCAGCCTTGCCTTGCATTTCACCCCTGCAGCCCTCCCTTCGCATCTTATAGCTAACATTATATTTGTAACTTCCGCAACAGCACTTATTTACATGAGTTGTAACAAGAAAAAAAAAAATCCAGCAAAAAGTCCTCCTGGCAAACAACCACACGTAACAGGAAACTAACGAAGGCTTCACCTGCCATCCCTGACCGGCAACGGAGGGGCGCCCATTTTCCCTGTCAGAAACGCCCTGCCCCAGGTCCACTGCAGCCCACCTCTCCAGCCAACGCAGGCCAGGGCACACTGACCACCACCCATTTGTCTGCTGGAAGTCCGGGCACCTCCAACAACCCTCCCAAGCGATGCCGTCGGCAAACCAAACGCTGCACTCTTGGTCTTCCTCCTAGCCATGGGACTTAACCTAGATCTGCATCACACGTAAGTGACCCGCTGGCTCACAGTCACATCTCCCTGCAGTTCAGGACTCCATCCCCTCCTCCTGCTTGCACGGGGAATAGTTAGGCCTACCGCCCCTCCCAGGATTTCCGAACACCTTGTTCATACCTTAATTTCAAGGCACTAGGAGGGCTTGGGGGTGTGTGTGTGTGTATGTGTGTGCGCGCGCGCGCACCCTCCACAACGTTACAAACTACCCACTCGCCTGATCTCATCAGGGCCAAGAAGCCTACATAAACCCTAAGACCAAAGCGACCCTAAATGCCCACAATGCTGCACCCCAACCGGCCACAGCATGAGCCTGCGGAATGGTCCAGCCCAATCCACCCACACCACGGTCCGGGGCCCTGGGGGGAGGGTCCCCCCACCTCACAGTCCAGGTCCATGCGGGGAGAATCCTTGCAGGAGGGTCCCTGCTGGGAGGGCCCATGCTGGGAAGGTCCAGGTCCCTGTGGACAGGGTCCATGAGGTGAGGGTCCCTGCGGGGAGGGGCCATGCAGCAGCGTCCAGGAGGGGGAGGTCCATGCCGGGAGGGGCCACGCTGGGAGGGTCTTAGTCCCTGTGGATAGGGTCCTGGCTCTATGGAGAGGATCCCTGTGGGGAGGGGCCATGCTGGGAGAATCCATGCAGGAGGGCTCATCCGGTGAGGGTCTACGGGGAAGGTCCCAGTGGGAAGGTTCCATGTGGGAGGGTCCTGCGGTGAGGGTCCTCCCACCCCACAGCCCGGGCCCCTGCAAGGAGGGTCCCTGTGGGAGGGCCCATGAGGGGAGTGTCTCTGGAGGGTCCGTGCGGGAGGGTCCCTGAGGGGACCATCCTTGCGAGGAGGATCCTCTCAGCCCACAGCCTGGGTCCCTGCGGGGAGGCCCTCGGCCCCGGCCCGCCCGTCCCGCACCTCTCCGAGTAGCGCAGCAGCTCGGCGTCCAGCTGCTCGCGGATGCCGGTGCGCTTCCTGTGCAGATACCGTGGCGACAGCGCGATGTGCCGGCGGTGCGGCCCGGCCACCAGGCAGGAGTAGGGGCCGTGCACCAGCTCGCAGGCAGCCGCGTAGGTCGGCAGCTCCAGGCAAGGAACCTGCCCCTCCGGGGCCGCTTTGGGCCGCGGGGCCTCCGAGCCGCCCGCAGCCATGCGTCTTGTCAACTTTCCCCTCGGCGCGCGCCAGTGACGCAGGCCTTTCCGCGTCGTGCCGGTCGCCGGGACTTTGACGTCATCTACCGGCTCCCACGCCCTGCTGCGTGCGCACGCCTGGCCAGCAGGGGGCAGCCGCTACCCCGCGCGTCTAGAGCCCAAGGCACGTACGGAGCATGCGCGAAGGCCCCGCCACCTCCTGCCTGTTTTCCAGCTACGGAAGGTGCGCTTTTGCAAAGGGCCTCGCCGGGTTTGAATTGAATGCACACCGGGGCGCTGTCCTGTCCCGCTTCCCTCCTCTTCCCTCAACCTGTGGATTCCTTAACAGACTCCTGAATGTGGTGTCTAAGTGCCACAGCGTCATCTTTTTAATATTTTATTTATTTATTATTATTCATTTTATGATACAGTTCCATAGGCTCCTGGGGTTTCCCTTATCATTACTATTTCATTACCACAGTATAGTTCCCCTGTTTCATTACTACAGTATAGTTCTTCATATACGGTCATATGTCCATCATTGCGGGCATGGACCATGACAGAGTCCAGCATCCTATTGTGAAGATAGAGTAAGCAGTTTCGTTGGGAGTCCATCTTTGGAAGTGGAGATGCTTACTACATTGTATCCTCACATCTGGATGTGTTAGTCTCCTCACGATGCCCCCCACCCTGCTGGCTCTCTCCTCTGTCCCTCGTCCCTCTCCTGTCCCACCCCCCCCTCCTTCCTCTCCCTCTCAGCTCCTCAGTCTCCGTGTGTCCTCTGTCTTCCTCTCTGCCTCTCCTCCATCATCTCTGCCTGCCTCCCCTCACTCCCTCCCTCTTCTGTCCCCTCCTCCATCTCCTCCCTCCACTGGCTCCCTCTCCTCCTCCATTTTCCTTCCCCTTCGTCCTTCCCCCTCTACTTCTCTCCTTCCCCTCCCTGTTTCTCTCCACCTCCCCCTCCCCTTCCTTTCTTGCTCTCCCTCCCTCTGCCTCCCTCTCCTCTCTCCCCCTAACCTCCTCCTCTCCCGCAGACACTCTCTCCCCACCTTGTAGAGATAATTCTTTTGCTGGGAAACTTCTACTTGGACATTAGTTTTCAGCTTGGGTTCTGCACCGCAAAGAGTTTCCTTTCACCCTAGGGTCGGGTCCCAGTGGCCTGTGTGTCTGTCACCATGTTCACCAAGCTCCTCTTTTACCGTAGCCGCCAGGGTGCCAGGCCCTTCCCTTCTCTGGGCTCTGCAGCCTGGTGACCCTGGTTGACACTGGGGAGAAATGGACACAGTCCTGGCTCCCCGGAGAACTGCGCCTCCATCACCCGAACAACCTCATGAAATCTGCTTCTTCCTCGTCAAATCGGGGAAGGTCACTTGCCCTACCGCCCTTGCAGAGGCCACGGAGAGTGTCACGGGTGGGGCGCTGTCTTCTTTGGCGGAAGCTCTGCTGCAGGTGGGAAGGGCTGCCGGACGCCACTGAAGACAGGCACAGCCTGAGTAGGAAAAGTCGTGGCTCTTCCCCTGACTTGGCTGCAGAATCCTACCCGTGGCTGTGGAGAAGAGCCTTGCTCAGTGTTTCCAGCCTGGCTGAGCTTGATGTCATTCCTGAAGCTGTGGGCACTCTGCGTGCCCAGGTGGTCCCTGGCACTGACGGAGACTTCTCTAAACAGGCTAACATTGCTACCCTTTATTGCACACTTGCCAGGCCCTGTGCTGCATACATTATGCCAGCACCCATGATGGCAATTACACATGTTTAAGCATGTGGACACTGGGGTTTTAGGGAATCGTTTTATGAAGTCAGACCCATGGTGGTAGCAACCCTGATTGTATTTTCGAGTCGTGTGTCCAGTTTGAAAGACATGTATTTCTTTAATTCAAAGGCAGGTGACTGGAAAGAAGACATGGAGAAAAATGGTGGGGAGAGATCTGCCAAGTGCTGGTTCACTCCCCAGCTGCTGCAGCAGACAGCTCTGAGCCAGGCTGAAGGCGGGAGCCAGGAACTCCATGTGAGTCTCTCCTACATGGGTGGTAGGAACCCAAGTCCTTGGGCCTTCATCTGTTACCTGCTCGCCATAATGAACGGTCAAGGAAGACAAGTCTTGCAGTCCAGCAGGACAGAATAGAGACTGGCTGTGTCGCAGCAGTTCTGATCTACAGTTTCGGTTGTTATCAGAAAGAAGTAGAATAGTAATTTGCACTTAGTGTGAGAAATTTAGAAAACTGTTTGCTTTCAGTTTTTTAAAGTAGACTGTAAAATATAGTTTATATGGTGGCAACAGACACTTAAGTTTTTTGCCTGATGGGCTCTGGAAAAAAAAGAAACAAAAGCAAAATCTGAACCCAATTTGTTACCAGTTATGGAGTGATGCTGGGCACATGTAATTCACAATTATGCCAGCAGATGGCAAACATGAGCTTTAAACGTGCTAAGTTTTGGTTTAGCCTAATGCACTGGAGTGTCCAAAATTGTTATTACTAATAACTGTATTTACCTATAGTATCTCTTAAAAGCATGATTTGGGGCCATTTTTAACGATGAAAATTCCTGCTTCTTGCTTTTTAGTTTGTTGATACTAACAGACACTGTGTCTAAAAAATAAGCACATTGTAGTATATATATTGACCATAACATATTTTACTTTTCACGAGCTAAACATTTGCTACAAATACACAGAAACAAATAATTCTGGAGTGGTGTTCTGCTGCACTGGAATCCATACATGAGCACAGGGTGAGAGTCAGGGCTGCTCCACTTCTTATCCCGTTTCCTCTAACGTGGCTAAGATGCTAGCAGGTGATAATTCAAATACTTTACCTCTGCATTCATGCGGGAGACCCAGACAGAATTCCTGGTTCCTGGCTTCCACATGCCCAACCCTGACTATTCCAGCTTTCTGGAGGATGAACCAGCAGATGGAAAAATTCACTCAGTGTCTCCCACTGTGTCTATGCTCTCAAGTAAATATGTAAGTTAAGACTCAGCTTCTTTAAAAGAGTACCTGAAACTGCAAATCCAGAAGCCAAGCCTGAAGGCCCCAGCATGCCATGAACTTACAACAGGTTAGAAATAAAAATTCCAGGACTCTATCTCAAGCAGAATTCATCTGGGGACGGAGCACAGAAATCGGATTGGTCAGACCTTCCCAGAGCCTGATGTCTGCTGACACGTGACAGCCACTGACCAAGAGGACTCGAAATACAGGCTGGAAGTTCTGGGTGACAATTAAAAATACACGTATTTATTGTTATTGGAAAGGTAGGTTTATGGAGATAAGAGGAAAGAAGGATCTCCCAACTGTGGGTTCACTCCCAAATAGCCTTAGTGGCCAGAGCTAAGCCGATATGAAGCCAGGAGCCTGGAGCCTCCTTCAGGTCGGCCTCGTGGGCACAGGGTCCCAAGGGTTTGGGCAGTCCTCCACTGCTCTCCTGGGTTACAAGCAGGGAGCTGGATGGAATGTGGAGCAGCTGGGACACCAGCCAGCGCCCACATGGGAAAGCAGCGCTTGGCGGCTGAGGATTAGCCAGTTGAGATATCGTACTGGCCCCTGGATTGATCATCTTTGTCCCTCTGTGATTGATGCCAATGAAGTCACGAACCAGGCACGTGGCTGTTTGCATCAGTGTACCAAGGAAATAGTTTGACCACCAACAAGCATAAACTAATACGTGATTTTTATAAACTTACCTAATGTCTACATGTTTCCTTTGATCAAAGGTGTGTGTGTGTGTGTGTGTGTGTGTGTGTGTGTGATAGAGAGACAGACACACAGAGAGAGCGAGAGAGAGAGAGAGAGAGAGAGGCTAGAGAGTTGCTTTGACCTCTGGCTGATTGCTTTCAGAGGCTGAGGAAGGGACAGGGTAACTCCCTCCAGAGAGCCTTGTTTTAGGATAAGAAAACACACCTCCCTGACCCAGCACAGCCTCTCCTTTCTGTGGCCACTGGCCACTCCTTTCTGCAGCAGGGTCATTACAGCCTTCTTGCAAGGCTTTCAAATCCCAGGTCCCCTGGCTCATCAGGTTAGCCATGGTGTTCACCAGGGGGGCTTGGGCAAACTTTCACTTACTGCCATCTGTCTTCAGCTCATCGCAGAACAAAACAATAGGAAACTTTCTTTCTTTAGCTTTTGAAGATGACTTCAGAGCTGTGGTTTAATAACCCACCTGCAGAGTTGGTGGGGGTGTTACCTCCAAGAGCCTTGACATTAAAATAGTTCCAAAGAAGCTGGTACGGAAAGTGTGGGGGTGGAAACCAGACACAAGTGAAATGTAGACTCCATGCCTTTCGATGTGTGATGTGTTCCGAAGTGGCCAAAAAATTCAGATGAATGTATCGGATTCTAGATCTCTCAAGGCCTTCAGAGAGCTCTAGTCATAACGATACCCCTGTGCTTTTGGAAATTATGACAGTGCAAGATGGACTTGCACAGTCATCAAAGAATGCCCTGAAGGAGACCAGAAGGGAAGACTCTACTAAAACCAGGCCCTTGCTAATAAAATATTTGAAACTCTAGGATTTGCAGCGAAGGCTGTGTTTCTGAGTAGGCTGGGCCGAAAGTTATCTGGAAGAACTAGACATACCCCGACCCCGTTTGTGTCTCAGTTTGCCTTGTATGTTTGTTGTAGTGATCCTCTGTTGTCTTGTACCAGGTTGGCTTCTGGCTCCATCTTGAAGAGAAATCTTTCTTTTGGTAATTTTTAGCATGGCTGAGTGAGCCAAAGCAGGGAACTAGAAGAGGATAAAATGCAGACTACAAAAATGAATGCATCTGACACATGAGGGAAGAATTTTGTTTGTGGCAAACTTGGTTTTCTCTGAAGCTTGGAAGTGTACTTGCTCTGTTTATAAAGCACCAGGGAACGTGATCTTTGCTTTTTCACTTAGGGCTCCTCATCTGTCTACAGTGATCTGTGTTGTCCAACCTCTACACGTTCAATCTCAAGTTTCCTTTCATTGTCAAACTCCGTGTTTTGAATTCTTGCTTGCAGTTGAAGCAGGTGCCTTTGGGCCAGGTGGTAACACGGCCAAAACCACTGGGGTCAT